AGCCAGTAGAGGCCGAACTCGCTGGCTCGGTCGGGACTGATGGTACGCACCAATATCGGTAGGGTATAGAGACTGGTAGAATATCATAGAGGGAAGCACAATGGACCAATACTGGTCTAAGTGCATGGGGAAACCCACCCTCTCCAATAACTAACTAACTAACTAACTAACTAACTAAGAAGACCGCAGACTATATATTCCTTCAGTGGAAGATTGATTGATAACACTGTCCGCGTCATGTCTGTGAACTAATACACAGGTTTTCATGACACCTGGCATGAACGTGTTGCCATTGAAGGTCTCCTGACTTATGTATATATTACTGTCTCATAAGATCTGGAAGTGAGACGATGGTACATTGGTGCAAATATTATGTTTTTGGACATTGTCCATCGTCTTGTCTTTATCTAGAAACCGTTCTGTTTATTTTTCAAAACTCAGCGTTTCGGAGACTGGATTCTGTCTGAAGCTTTAGGAGACACTGAGGAGTAGGTAAACCACTCCACTCAAACAGACGATTAACTGAAAAGGCGCACTTCACAGAAGAGAAGCCCTCCAATTCNAAAAAATTTGTTTTATTCTCTAGCACAAACATCACGAACGTGACAGGAAGGACTTTATTCCATTTCTACTTCGGCAATCACGTGTCGATTCGCACTCGCCGTGACATAATCAACTCCTGGAACGACCTGTTATGTGAGTGAACGACTACCTGTAGGTTCAGTAAAGAATCAAAAAGGGCCTGAATCGAACCCATAGTGAGGAAGTAGTGCCCATCTGTCTGATACCATGTTTCATTTCCGAAAACACTGGACAAATGTCGACGAAATTTGGTATTGGGTATGCACTCTAAATTCGTCTCTCAGATCTAATTTGGGCATTGTGCCGAGGTTAAGAACTCTTAAAATCAAACATACGTGTATACTCATCCAAACATCTTCACGGCATCGTAAATAATTACGCACGAAAACAATTTCATCATTTACTTTACTTACCCATCAATTTAAGAACGACAAAAAATTGTCAGGTTTGTTAAGAAAGAAGCACAACATGGTATAAAATACATAATATAATTATGACCTGCAGCTTTCATTTAAAATTATTTTAAAATTGTGAATTTTGAAGGAAATACAAGGAAACATATTTCTTTATTCTAGGCAGTGTTGTCTGAAGTGTGATAAAATGTGCTAGATTATCTGTATGCAGTGCATATTACTCCTTTAAGTTTATAAGTTTAAATTTACAAAGAATTCTCACTAGTTCTGTGCAAAATATTCAATTTCAACACTAGCAACTACGTTCACAACACGATGTGTGTGTTCACAGCGTCTCTTGGCGGCATCTTCAGCTTGTTTCTGGGCTGCAGTTTCATGAGCGGCGTTGAAGTGCTTTATTACTTCACGCTACGTCTGTTCTTGCGTCTGCGTCTTGAGCATGTGAAGCAATCGACGCAGACAAGACGACAACCTGAGGTGGCAACAATTGGTCAGCTCTTTCCTCATAGGAATGTAGGCAGAGTAGCCCCGGTGCCTGTCTATACCACGGCTACACGTCACTTCTTATAGCTCACCTTGTACATGGTTCACCGAATCTTCTTAATCTCACAAGCACTGAGGGAAGCTGCAGCTCTGTTCCAGGATTTTGTCATCCAGATATTTCCAGGCGTTTTCTGAGAAATCCTTACCTTGTTATAATATAGACTGAAAGTAGAGCATTATCTTGTTATTTATGTTTTCGTTGCACTATCGACTGTTCTAACTGTTGTGACGTGTTCGCTGCCCCAAGCATAGTTTCAGTCCTATACATAAGTTTACTGAGTAGTGTGAATGCTACAATACAGAATGGGCGGAATGCAAATCAACCCTAATTTGCTGGCAGCCTGTTCTAAATAGTTAAAGAACAAGATGGTTTCGCCGGTGGAAGAAGTTTTGTTGTAGTGAAGTCGAGACAATATTAGTAATAGTAACATCTTGCCTAAAAGTGAAGCAGAATTCGCAAGTTGAAGGTTTGTTACCTACAGCCATCGGCTGATTTATGTCATGGCCCAGGAACTATTGATTAAAAAGTATCAGAAGAGAAACGTCATTAACTGAAACATTTTCTGAACTGAGCGTGGTAAAGCAAACAACGTTCAAGAGGAATTTGCAACTGATAAGTCAATAACTGAGAAATCATATTTAAAAACCTAACATATTTTTGCACAGAACGTAATTGTTTTAAAACACGCAAGTAAAGGAAGAGAAATATGCAGTATGATCTAATTATATGCAAAAAAAAAGAGATGAACCAGACAGATAATTCATAAGATGCCATACCTTCTCTTCAAGATTGAAGCTATTAACCTAATACAGACAAAAACAAAACAAACTCCGTGGTTTTTAGTCCGCAAGCGAGCTATACCGACCGAGCGATCACCGCTTGTCGGTGAAATTAGTGCCAACTTTTGCTGATAGAGGGTGTCACGTGGTCAGCGCAACAGATCCCCACGGCCATTAATTTCTGTTTTCTAGACTGGAGCCACTATTTCCTTGAAATAGTTCCTCAATTATCCTCACGAGGCTGAGTGGACCCGTTCCAGACCCACTACTTCTAAAAAAATCTAGTAGCGCCGGGAATCGAACCCGGGACCTCTTGATCTGTAGCCAGGAACTCTGACCACTAGACCATAAGGGCGGTCCGAGCCTGGAACGTTCTGTATAAAACGGGCGCTGGCGTAGAATATTCATCATAAAGTTTATGCAATACGAACAAGGCATCTGTCTGTATAATCCTGGTATGATTACAAAACTTTTGCAAGAAAATATGAACATATGTACAGAGACTATGAACAAGACCGCTCTCACTGGAAATTTTTTGAGCAGACGGTTCTGTATTCATGGGGTCAGGCTGAGTCCGCTTGGTATGGAGGCTACTAACTGGTCTACTGTACCAGCCCCAGATTACAGATGATGGTGATTGTGGAGCGTTTGTGGAATGCTAATTGGCAGGGGAAACCGATATACTCGGAGAAAACCTACCCCAGTGACACTTTGTCCACCACAAATCCCACCTGACCTGACCCGGGTTCGAATCCGGGCCTCTGCGGTGGGAAAGTATAGTAGTTACTTACGCGCATATGACCAAAAAAGTTCTTGTCAACATATGTGCAGAAATCAATGCCTTCTGAGACACGACCGAGTTTCACATTTGAATGGCTGCAACGGTGAGCATCTTAAGTGANAGCAGACGGTTCTGTATTCATGGGGTCAGGCTGAGTCCACTTGGTACGTAGGCTACTAACTGGTCTACTGTACCAGCCCCAGATTATAGATGATGGTGATTGTGGAGCGTTTGGGGAATGCTAATTGGTAGGGGAAACCGATATACTTGGGGAAAACATACCCCAGTGCCACTTTGTCCACCACAAATCCCACCTGACCTGATCCGGGTTCGAATCCGGGCATCTGCGATGGGAAAGTATAGTAGTTACTTACGGTCATATGAACAAAAAAGTTCTTGTCAACATATGTGCAGAAATCAATGCCTGCTGAGACATGACCGAGTTTCACATTTGAATGGCTGCAACGGTGGACATCTTAAGTCATCAGCTCTTAAGACCAGCTGTCTTACCTGACAGAATAACAGGTGCAGTTTATCTGAGTTTTTGGTATATTATTTACCAGTTCTCCTGGAACATGTGCCCCTTCATCAGTTACAACACAAAAGGTTCGTGCACGATAGGGCACCATTATTTACCGCAGCAGCTCAGACTTTCGTTTGTGTACACGTAAATTTTGGTTCAAAAAGTTTCTGAATTATTGACCCACATTTTTGATTATTATATGNTTATACGTACATCTACGTTTGAAATGACATTTTTTTTTAATTTAAATTTCCAACCTGTAGACTTTATTTAAACAATATTTCTTAACATATTAAAGAATACAGCTTCGCGCTAGTAATTATGTAATCTATTATTATTATTCGTGTGTCTCTCTGATCCCACGTGTATCTGTAAATATAACGACATTGAGAGGAAGTATCTGTGATTATCATATCATTGAAGTCGGCAAAGTTTATTAAGGATTTGCCATTTTGATTTTGATTTCTCTATTTGCAGAAAAAATAATTATTCCTTTGTCTGTATTAATGCCCCAGTTGAGAATAAAAAATTATTTTTCTGCAATCTTATCTTGCGAGCCTATAAAGTGTTATCCTCAGACGTTCTTTCCGCATCATAAAATTTCACATTTATAATGAAAGAAACCCTCTGTTTCATTTTAACAAATCCTTTAAAAATCAAATCCTGTTAGGTTCAATTCTTTTCTTAATCACTAACGCTATAGTCCTACATTTATGGCCAGGTTAAATTTCAGCTGTAGTCCCCTTGTCATTTTCTTTAAACTGTGTCTGATTATGGCTCCAGATGTCCCTTTTACAGAACAACGTGAAAAACATGTAAGGAACACAGCTTTTCCCAAGAAAATACATCAAATTTGAAAAAAAAAATGCATATATAAAAAAATAAATGTGAATTTGAACAAAAAATCTTAAATATTTGAATTGCTACCCAAGCCCACCTACTTAAATCTTCGTGGGAAATATAAATTCTGTCATAAATAGTAATAAATTCCTTCAAGCGAGGTTTGTAGGATTGCCAGACACACTTTGCCTAATGAGGTATACAAGTGTGTTCTTCCAAGCTTCGATGTAATTTATTATAAGAATATTGAACCAATTCTCAAAATCAGTCTTACCACTCGAGGATGTCAAGAGACAAGATGGAAAGAAACTCAAGAGCGTTCCAGGCCTCAGGGTCCGCAGAAAAATCAGTTCAATGGAAACTTAATAATTACCAGAAGAGGAAGGACGGATAATTTAAAGCGAAACATCACAATCAACACACGGCGGAGTAATAAAATAGAAATTTAGGTCCGCTTAAGATAAATAATGGGAACCCCCACAAGAATACAAAGTGTCTAATAAAATTATATTTAATTCACACCCGAAGACAGAGAAATTACTACTTCCAACCTCAGCATTAAAACCACAAAGAAATTCTGTAAGGATGTCTATTTGTGTGTACAAAGTGAAAGCGAAGGTGCGGAGAAGGGGAAAGCTCAGGGAAATAGAGCACATATATATATGATAATTATCAGCAAAGGAAACTAGCCAATATGCAGTAATATAAATGCTAATTTGGTGCTTGACCACGCATATTCCTGCTAAGTATCGCAAATAATTCCAACACGACACGCCATTAGTGCCAGGAGTAGAGTGTACACTTGCTTAGCAGAAGCATGGAGACCTCCAGAGGGCCTGTGTTCGAGCTCCTAACTGCAGACTCCAGACTTTAGTCCAGTAAATTGCTGCTGGCCTCACCAGCACAGTCGTTCTTTGTATCAGAACCCGTAGAAACTCATGGCCGTATTTTTATTCTTTCCAGAATTTTTCGTATATTAAAATGGGGTCTGACTACTACCGGTCACTCCCACTCTACTGGGGAGTGTCTCTGCTGGCTCTCACTCTCACTCACCCTCTCTCTCTCTCTCTCTAACCACTAACTCAACTAACCAATTACTCAAGACTCTCATCAGAGTCAGAGTCAGAGTCAGAGTCAGAGCTACTTTACGAATGGCTGTTTACACCCAATCAGTTCGTCTTGGCGCCAAGCCCCTTGAGAATCACGACCAGTGTTTTCTTTTTTCTTTGCAACTGAACCCTTGCGGTCATAGGCCTTATGTAACATCCTCTCTGACGAGAAGACGAGTTTGACTCTTACGAATATGCTTGGCCTTTCGTCAAGTGTACGTACCGCACATATAACATACTATTGCAAATTCTTCCTTTTACTCTATATATTGTACAAGTCCCCTCTCAGTCCAGGCTTTTCAAAGCAGGTATTGTCTATCTTACTTATCTTATGCTCCAACTGCAGCTTAGTCACTTGAACGGTAGTGAGCTTTACCACCGCTAAGTTTAAGCTTCTTATGTTTTCTATGTCTGCCTTCGCCTTGTCCTGTACTGCGAACATTTTCATTCTCATGATTCTGCATGACTTTTGTTGTTGTCGTCTGCGCAGTTTCTTTGTATAATTATATACAGAGGAAAGGTTTAAAGCCTTGTAAAAATAGCAGACCGGTGTGCGACTTGGAAAATTTGCAAGGGTGCGGAGAGAAATATTTTGCAAGCGCTGCAATTTTATGACGTATATATCTGCAGCAAATTTCCAGGAGGGGAAAGCATAAGTCATTACTGAGCTGATCACTGCTTTATGCAGGGTTAGTTTAACATTGGTGCTTAAACACTCACTTTTGACTAGAAAGTAGATTATAATAAATGTTCTGAAGGCCTTGGTTTCAATCATTTCTAGGTGTAGTCTCCATGTAATCCTCTTATAGAAGATCACACCGAGGTATTTTACATGTTTAATGAAGGGGATATTCCGTCCATTCACTGTAAGATGAGCCTCAGGAGGCCCAATTCTATGAGAAAAAAGATGGCGTGGGTCTTATCTTCAATGATTTTTGCACAACTGGCTCTGCAGATATAACCTCCGCACGGAGCAACAGAGAACACAAATTTTCGCAATTCCTCTATTGTTGCGTGCATAGCTGTGGCTACGCTGCTGTTACATTTCCTATTCCATTGTTGCGTCACTATTTTGGAGTGACAAAGTAAAGGGAAATCTCTTTTGGTTAAACTGCTCGGCTTACAGCGGATATGCCACAGTATTTTCAACAAATATTGACATCCATTGCATCTTTTCTTGAAAATTTGTGAAATGAATGAACAAGGTTACATATTCTAGTGCAAGGTAACAAACTTAGATGTTGTCAAGAACTAGTTTCAAGTATCATACACGTGTCACTCAACAGTGCCCGCCAACTAAACCGCATAAAAAATAAAGCTATACCGTAGACCCATAGTGTTCCGAGACGTCGAGGCTCCCACATTTTCTACACAATCAGTTCACAGATGGCGGTAAGGTTGTCAGCCTTAAGCGCTGGCCGCCCTTTACTACCAGGAAGATTCTTGATATTCATTTCTGTTAGAGGTTGAGTCGACCCCAGGACCATAGTGCGGCTGGAAGATTTAGATCAATTTAAAAATTCAACGATCTCATCGGGAATCGAACCTGCGACCTTACAGCTTGTAGCATAGTGCCTCAGCCAACTACGTTACCGTGTGTCCCACCAACTTAAAGGTATCGAGATGTGAATGTTTATGAATGATACGAAAGGGGGGGGGGGCTGTTTAAACCAGTGATCAAACACATTTTTCCGCGGGAGATTGTAGGCGTTTAATGTAATTTTCGTGCTTATCGTAGCGTTACTGGACAGAGGTGAAAGTAGATGATAATCATCTCACCCTCTGACATTCTCCTGTTGCAAAAACAAAACCACAACAAACCATCCTGGATATATATTTTTTTACGTTGTTAATACCAAATATCCATACGAAGTTTCGCGTAATAACACTCAAAGTATTCGCGCAGAAATAAGTTTGCCACTGTTTGTTAGTAAAATCCAGAAATTTCGAAAAGCGGTATAAATATATGTCCTGCCGTATACCTAGGGGGAACATGGAATGCAGCCCCAAAATACGTACTGCCCCTTGAAATTCAAGACTTCTGAAATCCCTACTCGTGTGGCCTTTTCCTTCCAATTCTTCTGACTGAAAGTATGCATTTGTAACCTCTCTCATGCATGCTGCATGCCCTGCTCATGCAATCATCTTTGATTTGTGATACATTCATCCTTAATTGAATTAATCAATAAATGAATGGGATATAATAAGTAAAAATCAAAAGTTATATACACGTACATTTTGGAATATACAGTTAAGAACCGATGTGGAATTAATAATATAACAAAATATATTGAATTACAGGCATCATCCAAGGAACTGTTCATCCTTGCAACAGTTCTGGTTGCTCCTGGAGAATGGTGCTATCTTGCAGGACAACAATACAAGCTATACTGTGGTGTACAGTGTGGACAACAATGCTCAGAGTCATTTCAACACGAGATTTACGTACAGTCTGTTAAAGTTCGGGAACACGGTCCTGTACACCTTAAGAATTCTCGCAGACGGTGAGGTCACGTGGGTGCAATTGAATCGAAGAACAAGGGAGTCAGAGGAATTACAAGTTAATCATAAGAATATACAACCACCACTTAAATTATTAACTGGAACTCACTCATCAAGCGCACCAGATTTGCAATAAGAAGCGTGAGATTTTGTCATGAATCTTCAGTAACTATTACGTAGAGCGGCTGAAATAACCTCAGAAAATAACTGGATAATTTATTTTGAAAAAGTAAATATGTCTGCATGTCAGCTATTGGACATTTTTCCTCCTCCAAGTAGGTGATGTAATTACAGACAAGATACGCCCCAAAATTTACAGTCAAATATTTGGTTAGAATCCATCTGTGGATATTTTAATATTCAGAAATGCTGCATCAGAAAGCTGGTTGAGGACATAAATTAGTGTGAACTTAGTATTAAATTTTCATATTTAAATTAATCAAACAGTATTATGCGCCTATAAATTGAATGTAGTAATTCCCATAAAATTGATATCAAACATAGAAGTAAACAAAGAAGATAACTTTGTTCATACATCAGTTTTAGTCTTCAAAGAATGAAATGTTATATTGATCCAGTTCTGCACTGTTAACCTGTTAAACTGCTCTATTGCTCTGTGCATAGCAAATATGATGTCACTTGAGTCATTTATATTTTAGGGGGATCAGTTGTTTTCTACTTCTGTCATCTACAGATATGTGAACAAACATGCAAACATGAATTTATTCTGTGATTTATAAATGCAAATCGCCTTGTTATCTCTGCTGTAGGTGATGGCGCTGGAGTTAACTCTTGAACTAGTGAGTTTCTTTTAAAACCTTTATCAGCAGCTGAGATATTTATGAAGGAAATGTATTATTTAGCAGAGTTGGAAGGGTTCTGGAATTACAAGGAAGTGTTGACATTGCCGCAGTTCACACAACTTCTGCGTATGCAAAACGAAATCAAGTGAAACAAATTCAACTAATATATTTATGGAGTGCTTCATGTTTGTAAAAAATGAGATTCGATACTCATATGTAGATAAAGTGTAAAACGCCTCTCCTACCTCTCCACTTTACCTGTGCCTTCTCCCCCATTTTTCTTAAATTTGTGATGAAAAATCTTAATACAAAAGTTGATAATAAAAATCAAAATGCTTAACATTCGTTTATGTTCATAAGATCCGCCCCTTGGTCACTCACCTGAGACACACGAGCAGAGTTAATAGTCTCATATCTTATTTCGTTTAGAGCCATTTTGATATTGTACTCCCATCTACGCCCAAGACCACAAACTTGTTTCTTCCTTTCAAGTTTCCTGAGTAAGATATCGTCAGCATTCTCATCTCTCGCCTACGTGACTCATTCCCCGTTCATCTCATTCTCCATAATTATAACATCATATTACTAATTAGTAAATGGTACGGATTGTGAAACTCCTCACTGGACAAATTTTTTCAGCTCCCAACTACTTCTTGTCACTGAGTTTCTTAACAGAATTGAAGGGAAATATGTTGCACCTCTATACAATACACTGTATACCTTTGGGCCGCTACTGTCGATGTATTAGCTCCTATCTGTTCTGTTTATTAACCACATATACAATAAAACAAAACAAATTCCGTGGCCTGTGGTTCGCAAGCGAACTATACCGACTGAGCGAACGCCGCTTATGGGCGAAGTTAGTGCCAACTTTTGCGGATAGAGGGCGCCACGTGGTCAGCGCAACGGATACTCGCGGCCGTTAATCTCAGTTTTGTAGACCGGAGCCGCTATTTCCTTGAAATAGCTCCTCAATTATCCTCACGAGGCTGAGTGGACCCCGTTCCAGAACCACTACTTCTCAGAAAATCTAGTAGCGCCGGGAATCGAACCCAGAACTTCTAGATTTGTAGCCAAGAACTCTGATTACCAGACCACATATAGTTTTCTGCGATAGATGAACATCGGGACTAATACTAAATATAGATCTGAGAGACTTTATCCGAAATACTATTTGGTTGTACTTAGAATCTGAGTACATCTTCCTCTTCTTCTATAATGATCTGCAGAATTCGCGTACTACCCGAACTGACTTCGGTCTACGGGCCAGTGGTTGTCTCCACTCGGCTAAAGAGTAACGCGTTGATTGCAAAATGGATTATGTAGTTGTGTGTGTTACTTTCATTTGTCGGCTCCTTTCATGCCTTGTACACACTTATATAATATACTCAATCGTTTTTCCACATGCGAGTTTCTTTGCTTAATATTTTACACTGTATGCCTCGCTTGCTTGTGTCAACAGATTGGCGCATCTCATCCTTAAACTACTGTAGAGCTTATTTAAGTGAACATGTTTGTCCCTTCTGAATACTTTCGAACTATATTTATGAAGTTGGAAGAAGTATTCAAATGTAGCTATGCATTTATGCTGTCTATTCCTCCTGTGTTTATGTGCAAGCCATATAATCTGTGGTGAAGCAAAGGGTGTTTATGAAGATACAATAAATTTAGTGAATTCATTTTATGAATCCAAGGGCATTTCGCTTCTGACGGCATATGTATGTTGGGGAGAATGTAAGTATATAAGTTTTCAACTTTGGTCTCTTGATATAAGATTACTTATTTGCGTGAATCTTTATCCTAGCGAGGACAGTGGTGTGATTGATAGGACCAACTCAAATCCAAATGTCCTTCCAATAGACGAGAAATTTCATTGTCTCCCACCCCTTCAGTTAAAAAAAAAAATATAAATTTGCTAACAATTTTGTCGCAATTATAATTCCAACATTCAAAAGACAACTTTTTATTTGCAAAATTGTGCCGCATTGGGCGGCCTCTTGGTTCGCGTGTTCTGTCGCTCTGCCTCAGATGCTCAATGCTATAATCTGAGACTTTCCAGAACTCCAATTTTGATGGGTGGTTAACGTCTTCTAGCCCTCAGCTGGAGACAGTATGCTCCTCTGAACCACTGATACCGACATACAAGACTACACGGTATCATAACACAGAAGGCCCATTGCGAACTTCACCGCTATAAATGTTTATATTTTTCACCATAAAAATTTCGTCTGCTTTGTATTTACTGCCATTGCACGGATTTCGTGCAGTCTCCAGCAACAAATAAGATGCTAGTCTACACAGTGTATGTTACATATGGAAACTAAACACAAGGGCAAATGTGAGGCATTCAAATGTGCCACAGCCTGACTTGGGAATATTTCAGTGGTGTTGTAAGGAGCAAGAAAAGAAAACATACGCCAGAGGCGTCGGTATGTTCGTCAGAGCAGACTTAAAGAATGACAGGGTTTAATCACTCACAACTCGCTAGTTTGAAGGTAAAGTCGTCCCTCTGCTTAACTAATTAAACACTATGCCATGAAAACGTATGGGGGAGTGGATGTATAGATCCACGTTTTCTTGACCTCGGCACTAGTTGGAGGTGAGTGGTCAGCTTCACGCCCCGGCCGCTTTAACCCCAGGAAAGAGTCCCAGGTACCCATTGGATAGGAGAAGAGAAAATTCTCCCCCCACCGGGACTTGAACTCCGACCCCATGGTCTTCCAGCCCGTAGCCAGTCGCTATACCGACTTCGCTATCAATAGCCAAAGAAATTTTTGGGAAGTTTAAATTAATTCTGCAGTTTAACGTCACTGCTACTATTGAGACTACACAGGGTGTTAAAAATGGGTGGGGGTATAGTACTCACTTAAATGAGCAAAAGATTCCCAGTCGACGTGCAAGCAATGCCTGCTGAGATACGGGCAAGTTTTCGATAAGTTCGCTTACTGACGAGGATCAGTGTGCGAAGAATTCCAGCTGCTGGATGTATCGGTGTTCCCCTTATCTGGAGAATTCTCCATGAACAGTCGCTTTACGCAGAGCACTCCATCGGGTGCAAGTCCTCACTCCTCCTGACCATTGTATAAGGGCGGTGTTTCGCCTGTGGCGTCACGCAAAATATGGTGTAAACATACAGTTTGGAGCTAACCTCCTGCTCACTGACGAGGTGGGATTCACAAGGGAAGGTACTACGAACTTTCATAATACACATGCCTGGGCGGACGACAATCCCTGCACCACCGTGGCATCTCAAGCGGGTATCTTAAGTGATAAATTCTTAAAACCAGTTTGTCTTACCTAACAGAATAACAGGTGCAATGTGCCATCGGATTTTGGTGAATGATTTACCAGTACTCCTGGAACAGGTGCTCTTCATCAGTGACAACATAAAATGTTCGTGCATGATGGGGCATCAACTCATTTTCACGGCACTGTCAGGCAACACGTAAACCAGACTTCTTGTGAACATTGGATAGCACGCTGAGGCCTGCACGATCTCCTGATCTCAGTTCTCTGGAATTTTAGCTGCGTGAACACCTAAAGACTTTGGTGTTACAGCAAGTACGATTAATAGAGAATGTCTGTCAGAATTCGAGTGAAGCCAGGAATTTTCGACAGAGTTTGTACCTCTGTTTGATGAAGAGCTGAATGTTGTATTGAAATACATGGGAATCGAACAGAGCATCTTCTGTAGCGATCACACGAACATCGCCCATATCTCAGAAGGCGCTGGTTTCTGGACATATGTTGACCGAAACTTTATAGCTCGTTTAAGTGAGTACTATAACCCTTTAAAGCTTGTAACCTTTCTTTTTGACATTCTGAACAGAGTCGATGTTAAGGTGACTGATCAATATTGGACAGTAGGTGAAAGATAATTGGAAGCGGAAACCGAAATATTCAGAGACGCTCTATCCTTAAGCCATTTCGTCGACCACAAATCCTATACCACTTGGTCTGGGATCGAACCTGGTCCGGCGCGATGGGAAGCCGGCGATTAATAAATATAAATATGTGGCATATAAATATAAAACAGCAACGGTGTAAAAGTTGCCTGAGCAGGTTATGCTGTTGTATACTAAACATAAATTAAATTCGTAATTTAGTCTCTACTTGTGGCTTTGTTTCTAATATGTCGACAGTCGCGAATAACTGTTGAAACTGAGTTCACATTATTATCTGAACAACAAAACATTCTAAACATGCAGATGAACGTAAGCTGGTTCGCAGTCTGGCATATTCAGGGATTCGTGCGAACCTGGCTCCAGTGCCGACAGCACTGCTCTCTATACTACAGCAGGACAGCTACTACAGAGTGGGAGTGCTGGTTGATCTAGCATGCAGGAACTCCAGGGACGCTTTGTTTGAGGTAAGTTACAGATGTACAGATATGTGGGCACTGAAAACACGACTACTATCCACGAGCTAGGGAAATGCCTGTGATGAATAGGTCTGGAGGGAGTATCATTATGTGCTATTAGTTGGCCCGATAACTTGTATTAATCCGAATCCATCCCTCACCTAGCCCATGTAGTAAACTCCTTCTTGAGGGGCTAATAATCGATGAGCTTGTCAAGAGAATCCAACACTCACAAGAGTCCGAGACTGATTGCAATCCCGAGCCAGATGAATCCAGTTTGACACATTCGTACCCTGCTTCTCTAAGATAAGTTTAAATATTATTCTTCCACATACACTTAGGACTCCCTAGTGTGGGGATCCATGATTTTCATAACAAAATAAAGGGAGCAGTCGTTGTCTTCTCTATCACTTAAGCTATTTCACGATTTTCGGGATGACCGAGGGGGGGGGGGTTGGCGGAAAAATGCTTAATAATTTTTCTAGTAACTGGAAGTAAAATCATGGCTCTATTAACAAAATGATAAAATATATAGGGATGGACATAATTTGTGAAGCAGTAGCGCATGTTAAGTGCGCATCTCCGACTGTGTTGGCAGTGTAGGAGCTGAAGCGTATTTAGCGTAATTCCGTATCTGTTCTAAAATCTTACAAATAAATTAGAGAATCTCGTGAAATTCTGTGCACGCATAGTTCCTTCACTAGAACCATTGATTTCACAGTAAACGCTTTTCTTTCATTCGGCCAGAGCTGCAGGCGACAGAATAAAGACGATAAAGACCGATAAATAATGGGGAGCAAACGTAGCCTTCAGAGGCGCTGCAAACACTGTCTGAAATGTGATTCCATCTGTCGTGGTGTTTCTGAAATACGAAAGTTCCAAATCGTCCAAATTACTAGCTGGTCCAAAATACACGGACTTCACAATTTAGTACGATAGTAATATCGCATACATAGTAAACTCAGAGCAGCAAGCGCGGGAAGAAGCTTGGGTTCTCCTCATTAATGTAATCCAGACGTAAGTGCGTAATATTATATTTTAGCATCCTGTTGCATTGAGGTATTATTCCTATTGTTCAAGTACACCGTCAATAATGCAACAATTATTTTTAAATATAAAAGACACCTAAAATATATTTTTCACTAAAAGTGTAACTTTAGTATTTTAAAATGTTATTAAATATCATAAAATTCCATTAAGACATTTGCACACTAAAAGTGACTATCAGAATACTTCAAAGTGTCTTTTCGTTTTACATAATGTTTTTTCCAATTTTACAACATGTTTTGGCCGCATGTGGGCCATTAGTAGGCAACTTTTCAATTTGTGGGGAGACCACTGCACTGTCCATTTGTCTTTCGTGCTTCCATGCACGTCGTTTTGTTGTTGTATATCATATCTAGAATACTATTATTGTATTCTTTTTTTTTTTGGCCATCATACTTTTTGTATGTCATTCTTTATGTACATGTGTTTTTGGTGCGGTCTTCACGTACAATATTTTAAAGTATTAGGCTGGGCGCACACCAAGGAAACTGGCAACCGCAACGCAATCGCGATTTCCGAGAATTGTTAGCACCCTGAATCGAACACATGTTAGTGAATGGAGCAGCGCAACTCACGGGGAGACTGAGAAACTCAATTTCCTGGCAACGGAGCATGCCAGTCTTCCTACGATTGAGTTGCCGCGTGGATTCCTAGAAAACAGTGTTCTGTAACGAGCTTCAGTGATTCGTTTGTTTTATAAGATGGCATGAAAAGCTGACGAGGCTGCTAATTCGTTCTTGTGCAGCTAGGATTAAAATTCAGAATATGTCTGCTAAAACAATGCAAACAACTACGACAATATTGACCCATGCTTTGTGATAAAAGTCAGCAGTTGGCTTAGACCTCATCCTTTATAATCATCAGCTGAATTCAATTAATATAACTCCTCTGAGAGGGAATTAATTGCTCCTGCTGGTTTCAAGAAGTAATGAGCCAGCTGATTTAGCAGGCACTGTGCCCTCGACAATCTCTGCCTTCCATCATCATCATCATCATCATCATTTTGATTTTAACAAACAATGTAAAGGAAAAACGTCTAGTAGTGGTATCGTAGTTGCTTAGACATCTTCAGAATTTGTATATCAATAAAAATATAAACTTTACTTACCTCAGAGTAATCAGTAGTTTTTCTTTAGCTGGCACACTCACTCACTTACTCATGGATCTGAGCCTTTCTTGAGAAGCCGCCAATTGTGCAGCTACTCAAGAGCTTTCCGGCATTTTATGGAACCCGAAGGTTTATTACCTTGTTCGCAAGAGCTCTCCACTGGTCCCTATCGTGATCCAGATCAATCCAATCCATATCATCCTATCATATCTCTCTAAGATCCATTTTAATATTGTCAACCCACCTATGACTTGGTCTACCCAGTGGTCTCTTTCCATCTGGCTTTTCCACCAATATCCTATATGCATTCCTCTTCTCCGCTATTCATGTTACATGGCCTGCCCACCTTGACTTGATCATTCCAATTATACTTGGAGAAGAGTACAAGTTATGAAGCCCCTCATCATGCAGTTTTCTCAAACTTCCCATCACTTCATTTCTCTTCGGTCCAAATATTCTCCTCAACACCCTGTGTTGGTGTGATATCATCGTTCTGAATGTTCATGCCTCAACAGAAGATAAAATTGAAGACATAAAGGACAGGTTCTATGAAGAACTACGTAGAACATGTATTTGATGAATTCCCGAAGTACCCTATGAAAATTTTTTTAGGAGATTTCAATGCCAAAATAGGTAGGGAAGACATTTTCAAACCAACGATTGGGAATGAGAGTCTGCACAAAATTAGTATTGATAATGGAGTTAGAGTTGCAAATTTTGCCACATCAAAAAATATTACTGGCAAAAGTACAATGTTCCCACATCGTAACATCCATAAATTTACATGGACATCTCCTGGTGTGAAGACACAAAATCAAATAGACCATATTGAGAGACGGGAGATGGCACTCAAGTGAACTTTATGTCCGATCATTCAGGGCAGCAGATTGTGGTACTGACTACTACCTGATGGTGGCAATGGTTAAGGAAAGACTGACAGTGAGTAAAAAACAATGCACAGAATTCATATGGAGAGGTTCAATCTCAAGAAATTAAATGAGGTAGAGGGTAAAGAGGAGTATCGCGTTGAAATCTCTAATAGGTTCATGGCTTTGGAAAACTTAGACGATGAGCTGGATGTTAATAAAGCTTTGGAAACTATCAGAGAGGATATAAAAATTTCTACCAAGGAGAGTCTAGGTTATTATGAACTGAAGAAGAATAAGCCATGGTTCAAAATTATTAGACCAAAGAAAACAAGTCAAATTGCAGTGGTTACAGAATCCAAGTGAAATAAATGGGGATAATCTGAACAATATAAGACGTGAAACCAGCAGGCATTTCAGGGATAAAAAGAGGGAATATCTGAAAGGAAAATTGATAAGCTTGCAATGAACAGCAAAAACAAGAACATAAAGAGACCTGTATAGAGGAATAAATGAATCTAAGAGGGGTTACCAACCTAGAAGTAACTGAGTGAAGGATGAGAATGGTGACTGGTGATCTGCTTGAAGATTCGCACAATATTTTGAATAGGTAGAAGAACTACTTCATCAGTTATTGAATTTACATAGAGTCAGTGATGTTAGGCACATAGAAATATATACAACTGAGCTGTTAGTACCTGATCCTAGCCCTTCTGGTGTTGAAATTGCTATTGCAAAATTGAAAAGGTATAAATTACCAGGTAGTGATCAAATTCCGACAGAATTTATTCAAGCAGGAGGTGAAATATTACATTCTAAGGTCCATAAACTAATTCATTCCATTTGGCATAAGGAAGAATTGTGTCTATTATTGTAGCAACTCATATGGTGTCTTTTATATTTAAAAAATATTCTTGCATTATTGACAGTGTACTTGAATAATAATAGTAAGTGTGTAAAGCGGTAATCCAGAACTTTCAAAAAGCTGCATAGATATGTGTCCCACCATATATCCTGGGAGGACACAGAAGACAGCTCTCAAAGTCAGTACCATCCCTCCAAAAGTGTGATGTCTGAGATCCCTGCCCAAGTGGTCTTTCCCCTTTGGTTTTTTTTTCTGGCTGAAATTATGTAGTTCTGATCTCTCTCATATATGCTGCATGCCCTGCTCATCTCATCACCTTTGATTTGTTCATCACAATAATACATAGGTAAGTCAATAATTATTCGCAATGTAGCTATAAATTTTATTTCAATACAAATATAAAACTTACATTAACATCATTTTTCAACATAGTCCCCTTGCTTTTCAATGCACTTGGTCCATCGTTGCACAAGCTTCCTGATGCCCTCAGAAAAGAAGTTTTTCGGCTGAGCAGCGAGCCACGCATTCACCGCTTCCTTCACCTCTTGGTCCGAGGTGAATTGATGGCCCCTTAATGTTTCTTTGAGTGGACCAAACAAATGGTAGTTAGAAGGGGTGAGATCTGGACTATACGGAGGATGAGCCATTACATCAAACTTGAGTTTCCGGAGGGTTTCAGCAGTGTGGGCAGCAGTATGTGGATGGGCATTGTCGTGCAACAACACAACACCTTTCGACAGTAGTCCTCGGCGTTTGCTTCGAATTGCAGGCTTTAGCCTGTCAGTAAGCATCTCACTGTAACGAGCACTGTTTATTGTTGTGCCCCTCTCCTGATAATGTTCCAGTACTGGGCCTTGTGAGTCCCAAAAATTGTAAACATCAGTTTTCCTGTGGATGGTTGGCTTTTGAACTTTTTCTTGCTGGGCGATTGTGGATGTTTCCATTCCATTCTCTGACGTTTACTCTCTGGCTTGCAGTGATGGATCCATGTTTCGTCACCAGTGATTGTTCTAAGAAGACGTCACGTTCATTACCATAGCGATCCAAATTTTGTTGGCAGGTGTCCAAGCGCGTTTGTTTATGCAACACTGTGAGTTGTTTTGGGACCCATCTTGCACAGACTTTATAAAACCCAAGTCTGTTGTGGATGATTTCGTAGGCAGAACCATGACTAATTTGCAGATGATTTGCCACTTCATCAATAGTCACTCGTCTGTCTAACAGAACCATGTCATGTGCACGCTCAATGTTGTCCTCATTTGTGGCCGTGGATGGTCGTCCGGCTCCTTCCTCATGTGTAACACTTGTGCGACCATTTTTTCATTTTTCAATCCATTTGTAGACACTCCATTGTGGCAAAACACTGTTCCCGTATTGCGCTGAAAGTCTTTGATGGATTGCAGCCCCTGATACACCTTCCGACCACAAAACCTGGATCACTGAACGTTGCTCTTCTTTGGTGCAAACAGAATGCGGAGCAGCCATGATTAACGGCAAGGCAGCAACGATGGAACTGACCTAGCAACATCAAACCTGTGCAGAAGTAATGACAAGAAAACCACGCATGGCGATGCTGCGCAAAACGACAGTACTGCCAACAGAAACACAAATACAACTGCATTGCGGATAATTATTAACTTCCCCTCGTACATTCATCCTTAATCAGATTAATAAATTAAAGAATGGGACAGATTAAGTAACCATGAAAGGTTTTGGAACATACAGCTATGAACTGTAAAGGAAATATTAATATGACAACAGAGATTCAATTTCAGGCATCATCGAAGAAGCTGTTTAACCTGCAAAAGTTCTGGCTGCTCCTGGAGAGTGGTTGCCTGTCTGAGGATGCTGCTGTCCTGCAGGACAATAATACAAACTATGATGTGGTGTACAGTGTGGACAAAAATGTGGAGAGTCATTTCAACACCAACTTTACATACAGCCTGTCCAAGTTTGGGAAAACTGTCCTCTCCAACCTAAGAATTCTTGCAGATTGTGAAGTCACGTGGGTGCAACTGAATGGAGGAACAAGGCAGTCAGAGGAGTTACAAGTTAGTCACAGGAATATGCAATCACCACTTAATTTATTAACAGTAAGTCACTCATTAAACATACCAGATTTTGGAAAGGAATCCCAACAGTTTCTTGTGAATATTTCTCTGTGCAAATTAAATCACAGTGACAACTTAAATATTGGCCTTAACACTAACTTGAATTTATATATGATAAATAGGTCTGGAGATGAAGCATGCAGATGGCTCAATAGACAGATGTAATATCTCAATTATAGATTATTTCTTTCTTCTTTTCTGCTGGTGCTACAACCCTTTGTGTGTCTTGTCTCCTCCATGAGGTTTTGTAACTGTAATTTTTTCGGAGTCTGTGTTGTTAGCCACACACTCAAACCCCAGCCCAGAAGACTAGGGACTATATTTTGTCTGGCCCCTGCCCTTTGGCCTGTTTGGCATGGGTGACCATATGCACTTTCACCAGCAGAGCCCTCCGGGTCATTGAGTGCGCAAAGCTTATCTCCACACTGAGGTGGTAATCCTCGAGAAGTGCTGTCCAATAGATATTCATCCACTTTCCCCCTTAGCGCTGGTAAACGTCAATCAAACTGCATAACGTTAGATCCCAAATAAGAGTACTCTGCAACTTAATTTTAATAATGAATTTTTGGCTGACTTAGTCTCCATGGAGCAGAATCCTTCTTGCAAAGTTGATTAGCAAGTCCATATCATTTTTACACCCTGAAGGATCATAAATTTACTCATAATAGACAACTACTGGCACCTATCCTGAACAAGATGAATCCAATCCACATCTTAACCTTTTGTTTTTTAACATTTATTTTAATGTTATCTTTCCATGAAGTCTCCTCTAACTTAACATACCTTTGCCTCTTCCAGCTTTTAAGTAAGTAGCAGCTTACAAAATGCACAACGTACATGATGTTCCAGTACACTGTAAATGAGCTAACTAGAATTAATGCCACTTCTGCAGTTAGCATTAAGGTGTTTAAGTATTGTAAGATTTGAGGCTTTCACGGCGGTGACTATGAAGAAAGCAGTCTACTGGGATTTGGCACCGTGTATATGTGGTGTTAACCGATGTTTCGGAGGAACGTATCGCCTCCATCTTCAGGGTAGAAGAAAAAATATAAGAAATCTGCAAGTGAGGAGACCGTGAGAACTGGTAAAAGCAGACTGTGTGGAAATATACACAGCTATGTGAGAGCAGAGAGGGTAGGGGGGAAGGGCAAGTATACAAGTGAAAGCAGTAGTGTGGGAAGGGTAGGGGAAGGGAGCTGGGACAAGCATGGTTTTTGTGTAGGGGAGAGAAAGGCAAGGTTAAAGGCTGGGCACTAACCCGTAAGCTGAGGGGGGTGGTTGTTATGTTGGTTGGTCATGGCCTGTGTGGCCTTCTGGATCTGGCGTCATATCCCAGTGGGAGATATGACGATATCCACCGGGATACTTGCCCTTTCCCCTACCCTCTCTGCTCTCACATAGCTGTGTATATTTCCACACAGTCTACTTTTACCGGTTCTCACGGTCTCTTCGCTTGCAGATTTCTTATATTTTTCTTCTACCCTGAAGATGGAGGCGATACGTTCCTCCGAAACGTCGGTTAACACCACATATACACGGTGCCAAATCCCAGAAGACTGCTTTCTTCATGTTTAAGTATTGTTTATGCATAGAAAACATGATGCTTTTTCAGAATGGCACCATGGTTGAACCGGATGTCTTATTGTTGGACGTATACAAGACAAGCACTGTCCAGCCTTTGAATGTTTCTATCTCAGGAGTAGCTTTCCTGTCAAATGAAGAAGAGGATGAATGCTTCAGGGTTTTATTTGCCAGAAGAGCTCCCATAACACGAAGAAGAGTTGACCTGCATGGTGCACACTTCAAGACAGCTACAGTGGTACATTCTTCTATTTGAACAGTTGGATTTCTGAATGTGCTTTACACTGACTCCTAAGTAATTATGTGAGACATTGTCCATTGTCTGAACTATACAGAATTATCAAGAAAGAACTCCAAAATTTTAAGAATTAATATCTTGGTCAGTTTCAGACACATAATCTTGAGGTTTGTTATGAAACATCCAACAATTTATCAAATCTGAACTTCCACCAAGCACCGCCATGGGTTTGATTCCCAATGAGTTCACTGGATTTTTCAGATGATCTAATCCTTCCATCTGCATTATGGCCCTTGGGTTGACTCATTCTCTAACAGAAATGAGTACCAGGAATCTTCCTGGGCCCTAAAGGGCGGCCGATGCATAAGGCTGACAATCTCAACGCCATCTATGCGCTGATTGCCTAGAAAATGTGGGAGCCTCAACGTCTCACAGCCCTATGGGCTCCCACAGCCTGCTACAGGGATACAGGTAGTTTTACCTTTTTAACCACACTGAGTGGGAATTATGTTTAAGAGAATAACTCCTGTTTATACACAAGTCATATAAACCAAGAAAAGGGCCGCGCCATAGCTCAAGCAGTTAGTAGCTGGCTTCCCACCGCGGTGGCCGGGTTTCGATTCCGGGTCTGGTCTAGTGGGATTTGTGGTGGACAAAGTGGCATTGGGGCAGGTTTTCTCTGAGTACTTCGGCTTCCCCTTTCAATCTTCATTCCATCAATTGCTCCATAATCACCCTCACCTATCATCTCGGGCTGGTACAATAGGCCAGAAGTGGCCACAGTACAAGGGACTTAGTCCCACCCCACTAGCAATAAAAAAGAAAATAAAAAAACATGAAAAACATAATGTAACTACATGAAGCAGCATATTCTTTGAGAAGACAATGGTCACTGAACTAATCAAACAATTTTTTCTCTTTTATGAAACCCAGTGCTTCACAACTGGGTTCATGAGCCCACCAGTGGTCTGCATCCTGAGTCAGTTTAATCCCATCCATACCCAGACATCATATTATTTTAAGAGTAATTTTAATATAAGTAAAAGTAAATGTATCACTGTAACTGGCCATGGAGGCCCATAGGGTTGTGAGATGTTGAGGTTCCCACATTTTCTAGACAATCGGCTCATAGATGGTGGTAAGGTTGTCAGCCCTATGCACCAGCCACTCTTTACCCCCAAGAAAATTCCAAGAATATTCCTGGTACTCATTTCTGTTAGAGGCTGAGTCGACCCCAGGGCCATAGTGCGGCTGGAAGAATTAGGTAAATTGGAGAAAATCCAATGACCTCATCGGGATTCGATCCCGCTACCTTCTGGCTTGTAGCATAGTGCCTCAACCAACTACACTACCGCGTGCACTCCTCTCATTTATGCTTAGGTCTCCTAAGTTTATATTTTGTGACAGAAACAAGCTACTCCTTTGTTGTCACACCTATTGTGTTACGCAGCCCTATATCCTCCTTGAATAGATGCCTTATTAACAGTGAAGGGTACAAATTATAATATTCCTCATTGTGGAGTTCTCTTCAGTCTCTTATAACTCTCTCTCTCTCTCTCTCTCAGCTTCATTCACCTGTGTTTAAGACTGAGGAGGCTAAACCTTGTTCAGAAGGAATTAAGCCAATGTAACTCCCACTCAATGTAACATCATCATCATCATCATCACAGGCCTAACACACACCACAATTTTCCCTCATTGCAGATCTTATTTCCTGACCAGTTTACTGACTGGGATGACTTGAATTTACGCCATGTCGACAAATGGTCAAAGATACATTGGCCAATATTTGGATACCTGAGAGACCAACTGAACTTCAGGTAAACAACCATTTGAATGCTACAGGTCTCTCTAATTATGTTGTGCATGTCATACAAAATGCACATATTTAAAAATTCATGTCTGTATCCAAGAGCAGATCTAACAGGACATAACATAATATTATTAGTGGTTGGGAATATTTAACAACGATATGTTTTATGCCATTCCATTTCAATTGTGCCTTAGAATACATCAGATAGGTCCAAGAATATCAGGAATGACTGGAATTGAAAGAGACCCATCAGTTTCTGATATATTCCGATGATGTTAAAATTTTGGGCTACATGTCATGCGCACCTCACCCTTCTTGAACTGATCATCTTAACAATGTTTGGTGAAGAACGCAAATTATGAAACTCTTTATGCAATTTCTATCTAGCTTACTGTCTCATTTTTTTTCCTTGGCTCTACAGCCCCAGTGGGCCTAGGCCTACCTCCATGAACTTCTCCGGCTTACTGTCTCATACTACCTACTAAGTTCAAGTATTCCCCTTAGCACCATGACCTCAGACACCCTCAATCTATTTTTTTGTGGTAGAATATCAAGTTTCACTCCCATACAAAACAATAAGTAAAATAATTATTCTTTATATATACATGTACACACATACAAGTACATGTATGGAGCGTTCAAAATAACAAAACCTCGAAACGCTGCAGGTGGACAGGTTACTTACTTGACCTTACCCCTCATATGTTCACTAACTCTAGTCAGTTCCGAAAGAGATAAGGTGGCAGTTGTACTTACATGCTCAATTCAAGAGTTTATCTTTTTCTTTATAACCAATAATGAACAATGTATAGATATGTGTGCAGTGTGGGCAGTACTGAGTCTTGCTGAAACCAGCCATAGTCTTTCTGCTTCTGTCAACTCTGGAAAAAATTTTCCCAAAATGACCTGTACATGTCTTTCACAAATAATTGTTTTGTTAAAAAAAACAGAGGTCCAGCAATCGTTCTTACACTTACAGCACACCAGACACCAACTTTCACTGGATCAAGCTGGACTTTGCGAGTTAGATGTGGATTCTGTGAACTCCAGTAGTCATTATTTTGCTTATTTATGTATCCCTGGAAATGAAGCCACATTTCATCAGAAAATAATATCAATTGCTGCTCCATCTCACCTTTGACAATAGACTGCAGAAACCAATTGCAAAAATGAACCCTGCTACACTGGATCACGTGGCTGCAAGGCATGGATTACTGCTGTTTTGTAGGGTCTAAGCTTCAGCAATTGCAGTGCCGTTCTTTCACTAGACTCTGATACTCCAATATCTTGGGCTAGATGTTTTAGTGATTTTTTTAAGTGCATGTTCAGGTCTGGCTCCTATGTCATCCAACTTTTCTCAGTAAGCACTTGGCGCTTATGTTTTTGTTTCTTGTCTATTATGAGCCCTGTTGATCTAAGTTTATCCAACAAACTGTAAATTGTTTGTCTGCTGGGACCTCTGTCATCACTAAATTTATATTGAAATTTTCGCTGATGCTTTCTAGTAGATCCGTATTACACACAGGTGCAGTATAGAAAAACACATTTCTCTGAAGTATATCTCACCTTGACTGAACACACTGCTGACTAATTGTAACTGAGAACAAATGACTAATGGAGCTGATAACTGCCACCCACTGCTGACAAATCATAAAAAATTCTCTCTCAAGAATCTCACTGCTCGCTGTGAAATGTAATGTTGTCCACAGAGTCAATAACTTACCTTAATTCCAAACGTTATCAGCCATCAGGCATACTAATTCATCAGCAAAAATCGCATGCATCTCTCAGGCAGCTGTGCACCAGTCACCATGAAGTGCAAAGCTGTGAACTGGTCAACAAAGGTAAGAACCTCCCTGTACAATTTCATACCTTGGGTCACTCAATTGCAGCCCTTCTTGAGCCACCCATATTGTTCTGTCTGTACGTGTAATTTGTATTGTGTTGAGAAGTTTCGAGATTACACACCAATTGGACAGCTATGGCTGGCTCACCAATGGAACGTTTAATGGTGTGATGGGATATCTGCAGCGTGAAGAGATTGAGTTTCCAACAACGGGTATTTTTGTTCGTCAGGATCGAATTGGAGTGACCAGTTATGCTGCACCAACATTCCCTCTCAGGTAATCAAGGTGCAGGACGTGAAATGTTGTAAAAGGGGGCTACAGGAGTTGAAATCTGAAGATAAGGATGACAATATAAAGTATAGCTCCTTTTCCTCATAAGAGCTATACTTTATATCGTCATTCTTATCTTCAGATAGGGGCATAGACATATGTAAATGTATATTATAGAACAATGATAGTGCACTGTTAACATCACAGACTTCTAAGCTTCTGATATGATTCTTTTATGTAAAATGAAGACTGCCTCTAAGTTATGATTCCCATTTTAATAGAAAGTATTCAATTACTGAAAGTTACTTTTCATCCTCGCAGTCAATGTGTGTGTATGTGTGTATTAGGGCTACAACAATATTTCGGCAGCCAAGTCTGTCCACAGTGAGCAACATCTTCATCCTCCCATTTGATAAGTCAGTGTGGCTATGCTGCATTGCTCTCTGTCTCTCTTCTGTCTTCACTCTGGGGATACAGATCATTTGGATGGAGGGGCAACACATTGAGCAGGATATGGTGCATGCAAGTTGGTCTGACATGTTTACGCTTGTGCTTGGAGCCATCTGCCAACAAGGTAGATGAAAAAATTCTACTATATTAACACCAGTGTTTAAACTGGTTTTGTTTTACCACAGCGATGTGTCACTATGTATCTGACCATTGGTTTAATTTCCATGACCAATTTTAAGAGTGTACCTGAAAAATATTTTACATATTTTACATGTACGTATTATAACTATAAATTAATGAGAGCTATTTCACTCTATGAGCTCTTTATTCCAACTTAAAGCATGGGACATTTGATATACTACATATTTCAAACAGCAATGTCTGATAGATGAGTGCAATCCTGTTACTTTCTGATCATCCCTTCTTACAGTGTATGGAGTGCTTATGTAATAACAACAGATCTAATTGACAGGTTATCATGTTACACCAACTTCTCTGGCAGGGAGGATCACAGTGTTTTTTCTCACACTGTCTTCACTGTTCCTGTTCACGTCATATTCTGCCAACATTGTGGCACTGCTACAGACACCCAGCACGTTCTTCAAGACGATACATGACCTAACCAACAGTCCCATGATTATTAGAGTGGAGAATCAGACTTACAATGGTGTCTTTATGAAGGTACCAGTATGCACTTCATCTCTTATATTTGGACAGGCCTTGCTAATGATGTATATATATTGGCATATTTTAACGAAGAACATCATTACTGTTTAATTATTACCTATTGCAGAATTTAAAGTAGGCATATCTGAGTCTCTGAGCCGTTTTCGCTCTGCTACCATTTGTGCCGTCTGTCCACTCTGGTACTATATGTGCCACTTGTACCGTCTTACGGTCTGCTACCACAGCACCGTCACTCTCTGGCACCTTTCGGCTCCGTCTACCCTTCCTCAATCGGAGGGGGAAACGTTGATCCGTCATATGGCTCTCGTGCTGTGCTCGCACGCTCCCTAAGTTAGAGTAAGGGATCCAAGCTAGCAGCGAAGTAAATCTAGTTACAAATGATGGCAATCAATATATTAACAAATAACAGAATTTAATAAACACAACAGAAATTAAACAGAACAACTGAACTAACTGCACATTTACATGCTCGCACACAGCGGCATCTAACTCGGGCAGAATGGCCCATATTTACTGGCGCAACAATTTACCTGGGTTCCATGAAAACATAACTACTACATTATGGCCGGGCCACAGGCTGAGTCTAAATTAAATACACAATATAAATTATAAAAACAGATTTAACCAAACTGGTACGAGTCGCCGCCGTCCTACAAACCCAATGACGGGCGACCACGGGCGATCTCATCGGCCGCGAACCAGCCCAGTACTTGCCGAAACCAAATTTGGACTCCCAGCCGAACAGGAATTTGACAGTCGCTCCGGCTGGCTCGGCGCCGCGAGCAAAGCCCTATTGATCCATAACCAGAACTGAACTCCGAACTCAAATTAACTTCCAAGCAAGGCTCCCAGGGGTAGAAAGGAGGGGAGAGGGCAACACCACGTGATCCAGTGCCACATGGAGGGGGGGTGGGGGATAAGTTTAAGAACCTCAATCAAGGGGCTGGAAGCCCATGATGTCATACCGGAGCCACTGCATGGCTCATTTTTTAGATCTGAGGCCAAACTTCTTAACCTCGATTTAAATTTTGTAGGGTTGCATCCTGTTTGGTTTTTTTATGGATATATATTACACAAAGAGTCTCACAGGTTTGTAATAAGAACTTACTGGCTCAGATACAACCAATTCAACTTATTTTACCAATGTTAATGTTAATATTTTAACAAAGAATCAGACTATTTATACTTAAGCAATTTGTGTTTTCACCTGATGATGATGACATGTGGTCAAAATATGTAAGAAGAAAAAGATAATAAATAAGTGTAAGTTTTTATTATAACTTTGTGAGAAGGCACTTGTTATAATTACACACACACACACACACACACACATACACTTTATCCTAATGTAACTGCTTCTGCTTTGCAACACAGTGTCATGTCAGAAAGTATCAGTGTTGTATTTGCCTGAATGGAAGGAGAGTTTTATTTCATTTTAAACATTACAAAACTGTGGGTCATCATCATGAATTTGACTGCTATATACATTATTCATTACATGTTTTTAATCGCGTTTGAGCTTTTGGGTATTCCTTGCACAGTTTGCAGTATCTTGCTATGAGAGTAGCAATTGAAAAAGAGAGACACAAGAATATGTTTGAAGATCACAGACCATGATCTTCCACCAGGTTGCTGTAAGTGCCATTACATATATGAAATAAAATTGGTAATTCACTGAGTTACAATATCATGGGAGTTTGTGCCAGCACATCTGTCATTCAACCTCAAATGGCAGATCAAGAAAAAAAGCTTTAGTATAAAAGTGAATAGTAGGTGGAAACATGAGAGGTACTGCTGGTATGACTTGTATTTTAAGGCTATGTTGTTTATATATGCAGAACAAACAAACAACTGTGAAGCAGCAAGAAAATTCAGTGTCTACTGAGGCAAACACCTGAAGGTCGAAACAGCAAAAAACCAGAACATTGCCAATACTGTATGAAAATCTTTGTTTATGTGGATTGGCATGTACAAATCATGAAGAGAAACAAGTTTTCTTTATAGAAAAGTTCTTCGATTTGTAAAGAAGTTAACCATCACACTTCAAGGCAATGTCGATTAATTCCAGGTGTTTCTACTGCCAACAAATTACACTGTTTGATGTCATAGGTGCAAAATCTGTTGTTATAAAATTATCAGGCAGTGAATATGTGACTGTAATGACAGAATTGGCAAACAGCATGTAACTATCACCATGTGTTTCAAAACTGAGTCTAAGGCACAGGTACCCATTAGACTAATACTTATTATATTACAATCAGGTATCTAACTAATGGATAAATAACTAAGTGAACTGATGAAGGACTGGATACAAGTTGTCTGGAAGAAAAGACGAAGAGCATTGCCTAGAAAAGAAGGAATTCTTGTACTGGATGCATGTAATACAATTCAGTGTACTCGTATTTTGAAAAGTGCCCATGTTGTAAATTATTGGAGTGAATAATTGGTCTGCTAGAGAAAATTCTTGAAATTTTTCCCAGTTCTAATCTCAAACTGAAAAGGTTACTCTCAACTGTGCCTAATTTAAATAACATGGTTGTTTGCTGCTAGTTACTTGAAAGCATGTATGGTCACATGATGAGAGTCAAGTAAACCAGTCTCATTCTTCAGTGACTTTCTCTTATGGTTTCATATGAATTGTTTCATGAGTATGAAGTGTTTCTTGTATTAGTTTTATTTTAGTGACATTCTGTTCTCTCTAATATTGGAAACTCCAAAACCATTGAATTAATGTTCCCCAGTTGGAGATGTTTTGTCATTTATCATTCAATTTCAAAGATTTGAAGTCAATGATGTCAGTGTTAAAATCCCTCCATTCAAGGTTTTCCTCCTTTTAATGTTCAAATCCAACTTTAAATCGTGTTTTCACTGTAGTCATATTTTGCAGGCAGTCTGGAGACTTAGTTTACAAGGTGTTTAATTATTTGAAGTGAGAGATGGAAAAAAGTGGGCATGTGAACAGTGTTATCATGTAGCAATAACACATTACCAAGCACATGATATTGGGCTTAGGCCAGTGAAATTCAAGTGGAACTTCTAGTAATACTGCAACCTCATAGCTCTGTTTCTCACAGCTTGACAAGCTACCACATAACTACCTTCATGTGTGAATCCTAGTACTCGTATAACAGTTGGTCTTTTCAGTAACAGGACAGGCAAGGTGTCCAGTATGTTTGAGAGTATCTGTTACACTGTTTTGTTCCATTATCCTATAATTCTGTGGCAGGAAGGACAGTTCTTGGTATGCTTTACTAATAGAATCTTCATTGAGCAGTAGATTATTATTCAGCTGCTCATGATAATACTTCTTGTGGTGTAACCTGGGGTTCATCACCAAGTTCATAAAAGTCTACATGTGGGCTTTGGCATGAGCAGCTTAGCAACTTTATAACCTATTTTTCTGTTACTCATTTCATTATCATCCTCCCAACAATGCCTGGTCTGCTTGGTGGTCTGCATTCTTGAGGTTTTTCAGAGTATTTTGTTTTGTTTCCTAAATTTTGCATATAGGAAACCACAGACCCCGAACTTCGGGAGTTCTATCGTTGCAAGATTGAACCTCTGGGAGAGAAAGCATACCAGCATGCAGAAGTCGGCATGGCTGACATAAAGAAGCCAATGCATGCCTTCCAGGTGGACTCTGCTTTTGCATACAAGTTCATGAGTGAGACATATGAGGAGCATGAAAAGTGTGATCTTAAAGAAATCAACCTGTTTCCAGCACCAATGTGCACCATTGCTACTACCAAAGGTTCATTTCTCAGAGAGTACTTCAGCCAAAGGTAAGAACTTCAGTACCTAAAAACGTATTATTGATCCCCATGATTTTCATAGTGATTATTGAGACTGATGTTTTCATATTTTACGTGATGATGACACACTTTGAGGAACTGATATACTGATGTTTCAGATATTTTAGTCTTCATCTTCAGGATGAACTGGCTAACAGCAGCCTTTTCTACATATTTACAGTAGCTTACTGTACTAGCACTAGTGCCTAAACCACTTCATCAAGAAATATTGACCTGGTGTAAAATAAGTTGTTCTGGAAGATTTTGAAGGTTACAAGTTAAATACTAGGTGGCCACAGGCATGTACTAATGATGCCTTATTAGTATCATAAAAGCAGTTATTGTCAGTTGTGATACTAGTTACAATATTCATTGTGCCATCTCACTCAAGGTTGAATAGCTTCTGAACATGATACATCAGCATTACAGAAGCTATGAACAAAAGTATGATAACAGAGCGTAGTGTTCAGTTTTAGGTTTCAGCTGTGGGAACATCCCACATACTAACACGCGGTTTCGCCAGTCTAACAGACAACACTCAACACTCATATTTATACAGCACTCGCTCTCCAGCCCACCTTTACATCATAGCACATGCTAGCCAATCAGCACTCACAATCACAACTGCAAGTTTAAGCTCTGCCCAGCAAGCATTGTATAAAAGGCAGAGCCCAAAGCTCGCAATCATCAGTGATCACATTCAGTTCAGAGCGATCAGTCATCAGAGTCATCAGCTGTTCACTGCACCAAAGACAGCTGCTGCAACTCTCCAGCAACCGTGCTCTGCTACTAGACAGCTAACGTAGCTGTCACAACTCTCCAGCAACCATGCTCTGCAACCAGGCAGCTAACATAGTTGCTGCAATTCTCCAGCAACCTTGCTCTGTGACCAGGCAACTAACGTAGTTGCTGCAACTCTTCAGGAACTGCACCATAGGCAGCTGTTCCTACAGGGGCATGCAGCATCACATTACCGGCCTGACAAACCAGCTGAATAGCCATAAAGACTTGGTCTACTGCAAAGGAGCAAATTCTACCAGCACACTCACGGGCCAGCCAACTTTCGACATTCCACATAGCTTCGCAGCTATTCTGTACATTCAATTTATACAATTTAATATAGACAATTGTTACAGATTTATGTGGTTGTCTTTTAGAACATCAACAATCCCACACAGCAAAATGTAATCTTTCATTTGAAGTTTCATAAATATTAAATTTAGGGTGTGAGGATTATGAGAAACTAAAACATTTTGAGAAATTCAGTATGCCTCTGCCAAAATTTGAGTGATTTTTACCTTATGTAACAAATATACTTCAACTGCATCAAAGGGGATCAGAACATGATGATTAGATCATAACTTAATTAGGGTGAACAAGTAAAAAAAAGATAAAATGGGAAGACATGTACATGCATGAGGCATGTATATCAAATTTTAGTAAGGAAATTTAAACAGAAGAATCCACTTGGGAAACTAATGCATATATATATAGACAATATTAATATTAAAATGTACTTATAAATAAGGAGTGAGAATGTAAACTGGATTCAAAAGAATATAATTAGAATCATTACAGGACGTAGAAGTAGAGATTCATGTAGAGATTTATTTAAGAAATTAAAAATTCTGCCTCTTCAATCACAATACATACTATCGCTTCTCTTATTTGTTGTGTACAACAAAAATAAATTTTAATTAAATTCCAATATCCATAACAGGAATACTAGACAAAAATATAACTTCCATCTACCTTCATCAAACTTATCACTATATCAAAAAGGAGTCTACTTTTCTGGCATAAAAGTGTACAATAGTCTCCCACAAAGTATCAAAAACTTGAGTAATTATACTAAACATTTTAAATCAGAGCTAAAGAAATATCTGCATGCTCATTCCTTCTACTCTGTAGATGAATACCTCAATGTAAATAGAAGAATTAAGCTCTATTAGTTTAAGATAAAATTACTTGTACCAGTAGGTATTATTTTGACTTGTTCTATATCCAGAGGTATTAACCTACTTAGGATCTATGGAATGCAAATAAATTCAATTCAATTCAGTTAGGATAGGGACATGCTCATGGTAACCAGTAGACTTAATGCACCTTCAAGCTGCACAAGGGCAGAGAAATTTTTGACTTGCTGAGCAACTGTTGTCTTAAAAATGGCTTTGTGGAGAACAGGTAAGGAACTGGAAGATGGCTATTGTGCTCTGTTTGACAATCACCTAAAGGGACTGAGAAAAGTACAGAATGTCCATGTAATCATGCCAGGTAGTGAAATGAATATTTTAGCATGTAAATTTAGAGCATTGCATTACATATGATAAAGTTTCTAATACCATTTCAGGGTGGTCTGGTATCGAAATGTTGGGCTTCTAGATCGGCTATTCAAAATTTGGATGCCACAGAAAGCAAAATGTGTTAGTAATGCAGGAGGTTTTGTGAGTGTCGGTATGATAGAATTTTACCCAGCAATGATGGTGCTTCAATATGGCACTGCTCTCGCAGTGGTAATCCTGCTCCTGGAAGTCTTGTACTTCCACAGGTCAGTAACTAATTTCATACATTTGAAGCTGTAACAATAAATTGGTTAATGAATGTGTTTTCTTTTAAATATTGATCAAATTTATGAAGTTATGGCAGTCATTTTCAAATTTCACATTTACTACACTGCTTTACAGCTGATTCTTAGTGCTATTTATTACAACTGGTACACTCTAACTGACCAAGCGGTAGCATTCATGGGAAGTCAAGTCATTTAAAAATGCTTAAACTGAAAACTTGCCTTTCCACTGCCTTGGCACAATTCAGCTGCGTCCTTTACAGGATATTCTTCTATCATGAACTTGGTGAAATTATCTTTTTACCAGCAACTGATGCATGCTATGCTGAGATATGTAGCTTGCAAAGAAGCTAACAATGGCATTCTCTTGTTCTTGACAAAGAAACCCCACATATTATGTTACAAACAGTGCCATTACTTTCACTCATAAAAACACTTCTCAAATGTCTAGGGCAGAGAAGATAAAATTTTAAATATCAAGGCCATTGCTTTTTGTGATATCTACTAGGTAGTACAAGATTACATAATCAATTAAATACAGGGAGGTCCAAAAAAATGTACTCACTCTTTGATAGTCAATATCTTTGGAACAAAATGATATGTAGTTACAATCTTGCGCAGTAGTGTAGTGTAATGTTTTCTCAACAGATAACAAAGGTCACATGAGTCACGTGAGTGTCACGCCGCATGCGCACTGTGAGCAGAAGACAGCAGCAACAATGGCTGAAAGGTTGTTCTTTGAGCAATGCAAGGCTGTATTGAAGTGGTAATGGAAGTACGAAAACATTAAAGAGGTACAATGACAATGGCAGAATGAGTTTGGAACTCAGCCACTGTGTCAGACAATTGCCTGTATTCGGGATAAATTTGAAGCCGACGGTACTGTTCATGATGTGCATAAGCAAAGATCTGGGCGACCACGGATAGTAACAAGTCCAGGATGGGGAGTTTGCAGAGAAAGTTATCTGGTCTGATGAGGCGCAATTCAAAATGAACGGTACTGTTAACCGCCACAATTGTGTGTATTGGGCTCCTCTAATCCACACGTTCACGTGGGCAAGGAAGTGAATCTACCGGGTGTTAATGTGTGGTGTGGTCTGTCATCGCGCGGTTTGATTGGTCCTTTCTTCTTTGAAGGTACTGTAACTGGTCAGGTGTATCTCGATATGCTTCAGACAACGATTTTCTCTGCCATTCAAGAACTGTTTGGAGATGAGAAATTTTACCTACAAGATGGTGCTCCACCTCACTACCATCGAGATGTCAGGGCATACTTGGATGACACTCTACCTGGACGATGAATAGGTCGAAGAGGTGCTATTGAGTACCCACCACAGACTCCAGACCTATCACCTCTCGACTTCTACCTATGGGGAACCTTGAAGGATGAAGTTTATCGACAAAAGCCAGCTACACTGAACGCGCTACGAGAATTCATCGAAGCGTCGTGTGCAGCCATCACACTGGACACACTGATAGCCATAGTTCGCTCAGCAGTTCGGCGGCATCGATGCTGTTTAGCCGCTGATGGTGGTCACTTCAAACACATACAATGACTCACTCTCTCTCTCTCCACAAGAATTGTAACTACATGTCATTTTGTTCCAAAGATATTGACTATCAAAGAGAGTACATTTTTTTGGACCCCTCTGTACAAACACAAGAAGAAATTAAATAGTGAAAAGACTACCAAAAACCTGGATACAATACACATATCACATGAAGAACAATAAAATACCAAAGCAGGCACTGTAATACAAATAATTTGTGTAAAGAAATCCTTGACTCCTGAGAAAAAAATGAAGGGGCCAACAGCACTTAAATGGTTTACAAGCAGATGATAAAGCCTAATCCTCCATAGTTCATTATAACAGTGACATTACCCTGTATAATAAACAATATGCACCTTCAGAACACTAGTTGAATGTACTGTAAACATTATGGGAATATGTAACATTAATTTTAAGCATTACTGCCTTTTACAGATCTCTCATCATTTCCAAGTTTTGCTTTATTCTGCACCAAAAACATGTACATCGCTAAAGGAACCTTCTACAACAGATCCCAATATAATAAAACCAAAGATATTCTGGAATCAGTGAAACTGGATCAAATAATTTCCAGTTCATAATTCAGAACATTTATCCTAGTTCCTGATTGGAAATGTATACCATTTTCTAAAATAATACAGTATATATGTATCAGTTAACATGTAGTTTCCATGCTATCTGCATAATATCTGAAAAGCATGTTGAAAAAGATGAGATTATGATGACAGTTATAATTTAATATTAATGTATTGCCAATACACATTATAAAGCAGCTGCAATCACGAAATATCACGCATGTGGAATTTAGCATATAAAATTACACGAACAATATATTAGAATACGTTAGCATAAGAACAGTATGTTTACCTGAATGGAAGATAATTCTGCACGTGAGTATGCACATAGAAGGTAGTTTTATGAATTAATTTCATGCCCTTACTCCAAATGTGTGACTAAAATTAAACATTAGAAAACATGTTACAAGTGTTCTTTATTGAGTCAGTTATTTGTTGAAGCCATAGGTCTTCATTCAGCCTCACCATTCTCACTCTGTTTACCGTTCTAATTATCTGTCTCAGCTCCTGTGTCTTCACAATTCCCATCTTTTACCTTACATTCACTTTTCATACTCTCATGTTCATTGTAAACATTCCAGACTTCATCCTCAACCTTCCATCAACCATTGCATCACTTTCACCCATTCTTAAATACTCTGCTCATTACTTCTGGAGAGATCTATAGCCATGGTCCTCATTCACTGTCGCAGCAGTTCTACACTGGGTTTCTTCACTGTCCAAACTGGGGTCAGAACATGGTCCCTTGCCAAGAGCTGTTTGGAATACAGTTGTTTCAAATTATCATTTGAAGGTATGGGTGTAAAGAAAACTGGAATTTCTCAGAAGAACTAATTGCTTGCCTTTCTTTGATACGACATGAACTGCATAGAAAATGGAATGTGCTTGCTGAGCTGTTGCAGCAGTAGGAGGATATACAGAGAGACCCACAGACTCTCCTTAGATGCGACAGACTACACAGAAAACAATGCATCCAACAATTCTGTTGTTGAGTGCATTCCTTGCCACAGGAATAAGTTTACAGAGCTGTTGCCTAGCAACAATGGGGGGGATGCACATAAGACACACCTACTGATGGGAGGGATTTATGAGGTACACATGAGCTCAGGTGCCATAACATATGTACCAACTTTCATTAAGATTGTTTCAGGCATTCAAAAGTTTATAGTGGGGGCTACACATACAGGCGCACACAGATACATCAAGAGCAAGGTGATCTCATAAGCCTACTTTTATTTTTTCAAAATGAGTAAAATAGGTTAAAGAAGAAAGGAAGAGATTTGATTCATAACAGTGGTGATGGTTTTTATCTAGAAGAGAGTAAGGATCATTCATCCTAATCATCACTTGGCATAATCTGTAAACTGATATCCTTTATTTCTTTATGTTTCCTAACTAGCGCAAACCATTCATTTTCTTCATGGGACCTATATCCATTGAACATCCAAGTATTAGTACAACCAAGCTGGATTCTTACGTCCCTTTTGTGTACACTTGAGGGTGGGATGCATACACTAGGTATTTATGGGGGATAATCTTATTCAATTCTCAGAATGAGTGATTCTTACTTCACTTGATCCCTCCTACTAGTCTGAACCAAGACTATTATAGGCAGAGTTTTATACTGCCCTTGTGCTTCAGGGCACTGAATCCTGTAGCTACTCCTGCAGCTAATGTCACAACCACTTTAATAATAATAATATGCAATAATTTGCCTCTTTGTGAGCAGTATCTTTTAATAATATGAAGGGAAAGGTAAAGGAACAAGACATGTTAAAGGACACAAAAGATTTGAGCCAACATTTTTGTAACACTAATACTCTTAGAAACAATAAGAGTTACAATTACCAGGCAGAACATTGCTACAAATTGCTTTGGTGAAGGGATGGGTTTATCCACAAGACTTTGTAATTGATCATTACCTTTCGGCATCATTCTTAAATATTACCAGCCACAACATAAATTTTAATTTTTATTAATATTTAGGACTTAATAACATTTTTGTACTAAAAGTGACTTATACTGTTTTGCAGTAACTATTTTGAGAATATGTAGCAATGAATGTTTAGATAAGGACTACTGAAACTCGAGACAATCCCATGATAACTGGCATGGTATGTGTATCAGTTACTCCTCCAACCAGCCAAACTAAAGAAACTTCCAGAACATTCTCAATCTGTAAAACAGAGTGGATATTTCAAGAAAGATCTCAATGTGGAAGGTTCTGGAAGTATTATGTCATTCAAGAGTATTTAAAGGTTGATTTTGGATGGCGCTGGTATTGTTTGCATTGCTGAGGCTCGCTGGCTAGTGGTGAACAGTACAGTTTTGTACCAGAGAAGTTGTGAAAACAGTCTCCTTCATCTAGAAGAATATGTCAGTGCTGTAACCAAATATCAACCTAGAAGGGCTGATTTGTGTAATATCGTGTAGTGCTGTTAAAAATAATATAAGATCCTTGTTTCACTAGTACAGTGTGGTCCAGTGACTTCTTCAGTGAACCCTCTCTCATAAGAGCAAGGCCCATTAAGCTGAGTGGGATCCTCATGCTCACACTCTAAACAATATTCCTGTTTCCATCCATACATCACTCCCAGTATTTTCGACATGGTTGTGAGATCACGTGGCACTCAACTATAGACAAGGAGTAGGCACAATAGATCACTCTGGTTGCGGTGCAAGGGCCAAGAAGGCCCACCCCTTAAACATTCATTCATTCATAGACAAGGAGTGGGTGGGAAGGAAGAAGACAAAAGAAGAGGGTGTTAGAAAGTGGCTTTGCTACCGTGTGGCTATGCAAAAGGAAATGGTTAAAAATTGTTAAGTTCTTTAATTGTGTGAAGCTTAGCTATTGTGGTTTGTTTAGTGAACATGTGTAAAGAAGAAATTTAATTCACTGATGTTTCAATAAAACAGTGCAAGTATATGAACATAATAAGAATAAGGGCAAATACATTCTCAGATGCTGGGAAGAAAAATGTTTACAGCTGAAGGGTAGCAATTGAAAAAAACTTCTAAATTAATTCTTCAATAATCATGTTCAGAATATTTAAATATTGTAGATGCCTCAGAACCAAAATTCCATACAAGGTAATACTCGAGACATGGATGACCAAGAGGCAGATTAAGTAAATCATAAATGTAAATGTTAAAGGTATTTTGTATTTTACAAAATAAAAGAGCTTTCACGTGACCTCTTAACATCATCCTGAATCTCACTTTTGTTCATTATGAAAATGCAGCATTATCACATTTATGTATACAGTGGAAACAGTCACTTGATAGGTTTGGCACTAACATGTGGTAAACTTAAACTATTGGGTATTAGGACTGGCAATGAATGTATTAACAAAAGTCAGATATTTTTTTTAAGATTTATAATTATACAAACTGTTGTGGTCTACAGTAAATGGTATTTATCACTCCAAGTGCCAATGTCTGCACAGGCACTATACTGGTATACCAACTATATGGTAATAAGAAGTGTAAAGGTTAGGTGAACCCAAATGACATGATGTTTGCACCATGTTTAATGAAAATACATTGACATGTTCAAGAGTTACTAGCAGGTAGAAGACACACACACACACACACACACACGCTTGCAGGCAAGATGATATCATAATATCTTTATTTACAGAATAAGCAGGCTAGAAACTGTCAAAATCAAGCTGGCCAAAAGATATGCACTTATTTTCTCAACGGTCTTCCATTTCTTCTTTCATTCAGTCATCAGTGTCACCAACTGCAGAAAAAAAATTAAACATTCACAGCATCTGTGGGGCTTCAGGAATCATTCATGTTTGAAATGTCACAATCACCTATGACTCTAGATCTTCCTGTTGAAAATTAAACATTCAGAGCATCTGTGGGCCTTTGGGAGCCATTTGTGCTCGAAGTGTAGCGATCACACTTGTCTCTACATCTTTCTGCTTCAGTGCTGCATGGAAATCTAATACTTCTCGTATTCTATGTTTCAGTTTCTCAACTCCTATGGGGTCCGTATCAGCAGAGATGGCCATGACCTCTGTGAAGTCAAGTACTCGCTCAGGGCGCAACTCTTCAGGATAGTCACCAACTACATCTGTAACATACACGTCTGCAAATGAAAATATGGGAAGAGAGGCAAATTGTTCACAAATCTGGTCATGCCAAGCAAGTCCTGACAGGTTGTCACTTCAACACAGGGCTCTGAATTCCAATCCAGAAAATGGAAACACCTTTTGCATGGTTAAAGTCAGTCTGAACATGAAACTAACAACTTGTATCCATGAGGCCAGAGTCCTTGCTGTACTTACCCATAGGTATTCCTCGTCCTTATCCTACTGATATCTTTAAATTTCTTGATGAGGTGACCTGAATGTCATGGTCAAACACCAATGCTACTTCAAGTATAGCAGATCCAAGTTCTTTGTTTCATCCTGGAGAATAGGTGCCCTGACTTAAGTTTTTCATGATTTTACCTCAGTCTCTCCAACCAACTGCTTGGATAGTACCTTGAAATAGACCCTAACTGCTTTGTTTTACATCTTAATAATTTATCATTCACAGCTATCCCACTACTTGATATAACATAATCTGTGACACTGACATAGCATCACTAAACAATTCAATAATCAGTCAAGCAAGACCATATAATAATTACTTGCATTTTTAAGTGGGTTTCATTTCTCTTATTAATTTTGAACAAATTTTGTAGTTTTCATCAAATACCTACTCCTAGACAGAAAATTCTGAGCAAAGGAAAGAAGAGCTCTGATTGTCACAGAATCTGAATGCAGCCTGCAGGTTCAGTGAAGTAAGGAATTTACCTGCGAGGTATCTCAGTTTGTCCTTCACTTCATCATACTTGAACTGGGCTTCAGCCACATCCATTTTGTTGACCACAAGCATTGCTGGCTTATCCAACAGATCATCTCTATACAGCTCTAGTTCCTAAAAAGAATGCCAACTTGCTTCACTCCACAGGACTTGTGACATAATGACCTATACACTAACACACACAGTGTAATTCTCTGATTTTATTCAATTCTGATATCAGTCATCCCTATTATAAAAGCCTGTCTGAGGATTAGTTCTAGTTCCCTAACATCAACACTCATAAGAACCTCCTTGGATTTCTAATATGCCAATTAGAAATGAAACAGAAAGTCCCTGAATTAGTTTCTGTTTGTGCCTTAAATAAATTAAATTATAATATTACGTTTTAAATGCCAGAATGAGAATGAGAATGTAACAATATAAGAACCTCAGAATATCCCATCCCTGTAGTTCACATACAGGTTAAGACTCTGAAAGAAAATAACTACTTTTACATCTTCAGCCATTTCTTCCATTTCTTCATCTCTTTCATACTCTCATCTTTCTTCATCCTTTGTTCCATATGAGTACTTTTGTGCAGGAAGTAAAATCATAAAACAAGCCCTAATGGACTTACATAGTTGGATGTGTAAGAGGGATATAAAATTTTTCCATGTTTCCACCATTATGAATATATATAATAAAAAAAAAAGATAAGTTATAGATCTTAATCTATATTTTGCATCATGTATCAAATTTTTACAAGATAATCTTCTTTTCAGACAGCAGATGAAGAATGATTTCAGCTTTATATAAAGTGGGGTTCATATGGACTAACATGGTTGAAGAGACAGTTTTTACTGGAGAGCATTAAAATTTCATCCAAATCTGCTGAGTAGTTTGCAGATAAAATCTGCAGATTAATGAATGATTTTGACTTCACCTTTGAGTGTTCATTATAAAAATACAAACATGATAACTGTTCAGGTGGTGTTCACACATACTACTTCAAATTCAGCATGTCATTCTCAAATTCTGTGCTGTCATCTTTCTCAATCTGCTTCTTTACCCAACATGTGTCTATCACAATTCTGTGTGCCAAATCTTAAAGAAGACTTTTATTTTCAAGCCATTGCTGTACCTTGTTCAGAAGTACAACTGTGTCAAGGCACGATCTGTAGGGATACTGTGGGCCAAGCTGGAAACCTTGTATGTCAGCAACCAGTAGCAGCAGTTTGGTTCTTTCAACATGCTTCAAGAAACTGTGACCCATGCCAATATTCATGTGTGCACCCTCTATCAGGCCTGGCAAGTCTGCCATTGTGATCTGCCGATGATCTGAATATTCCAGCACTCCAATGTTGGGCCTGAGTGTTGTGACTGCAGCAAATAACAACATTTTAACTCTGAATCACTGTTTATGCTAGCCACTACACAACAGCGGTTTGTAACATACATGGATATGAAGCCACCTCAGGCTTGGCTCTGGAAATGGCCCGCAGAAGTGTTGACTTTCCAGCATTAGGGAAACCAACAAGTCCCACATCTGCAATGAGCTTCAGGTCCAGCTTGACAGAGAGCGGTTCTGCACGCTGTCCGCTATACTGTGTCAAGGGGTTTCCTCCAGCACCACCATAAGCCACCACAAGAGAGCTGCCATCTGTGTTGAGTTCCCCTGAATGAGAACGAACCATCATTTCTGTAACACTCAGATAAACTGGTTTAACTAAAGACAGCCCAAAGAGATAACATATATGAGGACTAATCACAAAGTGATGCTTCTTTTTGTATTTAGGTCATTTGACATATACAAGTGATGGTTACATCAGTGCTTTAATTGAATCTTGGACTGGGACAGTGACTAGCTTGACATTTGTCATGATTTTCCTCAGTTCCTCCTGGCAAATACTGTGATGGTACTTCAGTTAGGCCATGAATATTTATTTCTGAATCTTTTCCAGTCAATCGTCATCCTATCATTTTACACTATACGGTCTGGATACTGACAGGATTGCAAACCCTTCCCAATCTTTTCATAGTTATAGTTTGATCTGACAGATATGAGAGTTGGAACTTTAACAGGGGCAACTGTTTATTTACAGCTGACACAAAATAGATGCATGCTTCAAAGTTTTACTGTCTTTCAGTGTAGTCACCAGCATTGTGTACATCCCGTTGCCAGTGATGTGGAAGTCATAGGACACCTTTAGCAGCGCCTGTTGTGTTGATAGTTCAAATGGAGCAGTCTACTGCCTGAAGAATCTCTGGAACAGTTCTGAGGCGAATGCCATGAAGTGGTTCCTTCATCTTAGGGATCAAGTCAAAGTCACAAGGGCTTAAGTCCGGGGAGTATGGTGGATGGTACAGCACTTCCCAGCCCCACTGCTCAAACAAATCAGCCACAGCTTGTGCTGCATGCGGCCAAGCATTGTCCTGCAAAATGATGGATGGATTCTGCAGAAAGTGTTGCCACTTCTTTCTAAAAGCTGGTCACAGGCTGTGTTCCAAAAATGAACAGTAATACTGCGCACTGACTGTCTGCTGTCGGGGAATGGACTGCATTAAGATAACACCATCACAGTCGTACATGAGAATCACCATAACTTTCACGCTGCTGGGGTTCCGATGAACTTTTGATTTTCATGGTGACCCGTAATGATGCCATTCATTCGATTGGCATTTCATTTGTGGCTCATATGATTTGGCCCATGTCTCATCCAGCATAATGATACGGTGTAAGAAAGCCTCTTCTTCGCGCTCATAGCGCTCCAAGTGGTTACGAGCAGTGTCATATCATAGCCATTTCTGCATTTCCGTCAAATCATGTGGAACCCATCATTATGCAATTTTTCTCATGCCCAGACATTCCTTCAGAATGTGAAGCAGTTTTATGTGCTAATCCTGTCTCTCGGGCCAGCTCACGAATTGTATGGCGTTGATTGCTCTCCAGTAACATGGAAAGAGCATACACTTCTTCACTGACACTAGGATGGCCTGGCCGACGCATGTCTGCCACATTTTGGCGTCCCTCATTGAAGGCTTTTACCCACCTTGCCACTGTTCTGTAAAGCAATGCAGATTCCCCACATGCCTCTTGAAGACCTTGATGACACTGTCATGCTGTACGGCCTCTGGCACATTCAATCTTCATCCACCTCTGTTGTTCCTGTTTCAAAAACATCGTGACAACACTACATTAGACCGTCAGCTAACACAAGGCTCTGTTCTTCTTGTCAATGCACATGTGCATAATGTGGGAAGGGAGAGTCCATTTGCTCTGAGGTAAGGTAGGTATGTAACTAACGTGTGGTATAAGCGACATTATTTGGTTCTGTTGCATGGCATCTCTACAGCAGTGCTGCCACTAATAAAGTTCCAACCCTCACAGCAGCACAGCTGCACTAAATTAGAAAATGTGTAATTATGACTGAATTATCAGCTATTGAAGGGTGAGAGGATACTTCATTATATGTATCATTACGGAAGGTGTTTGGCAATGCAGCTGTGGGTGTGGATATATGTTGCGTTAGCTCGTAGTGAATCTATCTCCACATTTCATGGAACATAGAGAACAAAGGATACAATGTTTGAAATATAGATGGTTGAACACAGGAGACAGAATTCTTTTAATTCTTGATTTTGCTCAGTTTAATCATTGATACATAGCCCTTTTCCCTAAGGGACTAAATGCATATAAAACCTGAAAAATAATGAGAATTAGAGAGAGAATTATTAAGAACTAAGGCAATGTAGCCCTGGGCCGCACCATAGCTCAAGCGGTTAGTCGCTGACTTCCCACCAAGGTGGCCTGGGTTCAAACCCAGGTCTGGTCAAGTGGGATATGTGGTGGACAAAGTGGTTCTGGGGTAGGTTTTCTCTGAGTACTTCAGTTCCCCTGACAATCTTCATTCCACCAAATTCTCCATCATCATAATCACCAGGGGCAGGTACAATAGGTCAATCAGTGGCCGCCGTGCTGAGTTGACCCAACTGGACTCCACCCCCCATTATGCAAAAAAAATTAAGGCAATGTACTGTTTGGTGCAGTTACAGAATGGATGGACAAAGCAGACCTGTATGACAGACTACACAGTGATCATCCCTTTACTGCAGTGATGATCTTATTCATAGTCTCTACTGCATAACCACAGATGTACTGTGTGCCACAGTATCAAATGGAAAAGGTGTAGTGGCCACTATTAAGGAGCTTGGCTGTATATACAAAGATGCTCGTAAAACAATCACCATTGATCTCTTATGTCAGAGCTGTTCAACTGGTGGCACATAGGTCAAAAACCATGAGTCCAGTTCTTCTTTGTACTTTTTAAAGACATCAGTCAGATCAGCTCAGCAGTTACTGTGACTGCGTGTCCAATGTTGTCTTTAAAAACATGTGGTCCTAAAATGACAGATGAACTGAGTCCACACCATTCTGTGATCTCTTGACTATGCAAAGGTGACTGATGCAGTACGCACAGGTTTTCTTCTGCACAGTACCTTAAATTCTCTCTTATTAACATACCCACTCAGATGAAATTGGGTTTCATCTGATGTTTCAAATTTGGAAGAAATTGTGGTAGTATGTTCATCATTTTCAATAGCTTGGTGCAAAAGTAATTCTTGCACCATTTGAATTCTGAATGGATGAAAGTGCAAATCGAAGTGTAATGTTCTCCTAACACTCCTATCTGACATGCCTAGTGCTACAGAATGTTGTCTAACAGGGCAACGTGAACTCTGCTGTGGGGCCACTTGCACTACCTCTCCACATTTTCTGCGTTGCACACTGATCATGGATGTCCAGAATTCTTCTTTGGCAAGGCAGAAGCAGTTGATCTAAACTGGCTTACCCAATTTAAAGTTATCTGACATGATGGAACCTTACAATTTCTTATAATGTTAAAGTGCTTACTAAATTCATGTTGTGTCTGAGTAGCTGAATCATTATGTTTAAAAAACTTCTCCACAGCAAATGCATGATGCTCACATGACCAACGCTCCATTGTGAATAATAGGCTTTGAACTGCTCTTGACACAGCTGCAACAATCAGTGCGCTATCTACTGGCATATGCATTTGGCATCTATTTCAAATTGTCTAATCATCTAATCCAGCCCTGTCCAACGCGGCACCCGTGGTATATTTTTCTGGCACCCTCTGTAACCACATATAATTGAGCCGATTTTTAATATTAATTCAAATTG